AATAGGAAGATCGTAAAAAATGGCGCTAGGAACCAAAGCACGTGCTGTAAATTATTTTCGATAAGATTGGAATTTAAAAATATTTTAAAACAAAGAAATAAAAAACAATTAAAACAAAACAAACATAATCATTACTAATTTTTGCTTATCAGTATCTAACACCTGAAATATAAAAATATAGACATACTAATACACTTATGAATGTGCAGCGTCAAAATATTATAAAGAAATAATAAATATTATATACAAAAACAAAAAAATTAAATTGAAAATTTACATATAAACAAAAATAAAAATAATAAACAAAAAAAAAACATTTTAAAAATTAAAATTTATATCGTATTTAGAATAAAAGATATTTTAGAAATACAAATAAGAGAACAGAAATGCTCGATAATGTACAATTTTATATTCAAAATACATACATACATATATAGAGATACATATACATAAGTATAACTAACAATTACTAAAGTACTTGCTGATTGTAAACAATTTACTTAGAAAATTATATTGAAAATATCGGAAATAACGTATATAAATATAAATATATTTATATATATAGATAATATATATAAATATAAATAGTAGAAAGAATTAAATATAAAAAGCGTTCACTGACATTTTGAAACTATACAAGAAAATGTGAAGTCAGAGAGATAATTCTATATATTATAATAAATATAGCGGAAGCTCGTATAACTCAACCTTGAAAAAGTACTATTCAGTATCTACAAAAGATTTCTTTAAGCATTTTTTTATGCAACTAATGTATCATTTATACAACAAACAATTGTAAAATATCTTCATAAAATATACATATAAATCTATATATATATATATATATATACTCTACATATATATATAATAAATAAAATAAACAAAAGTGCAATAAAATTACTTTACTATTTAATAAACTTAACTCGTATGAAAAACAATATTTTATATTGTTAAAAAAATATAATTATAATATTTAAGAAAAATAAAAATAAACATAAATATTTCTAACAGAAATTGAAATACCTTACAGGTAAAAAAAAATTAAAATCAGTTTGAAATAACTTTTTAGTGCTATTCATGATTCCGAGTAACAAACCTGATGATCGAGTAACCGAGTAACCGAATAAAACTTGTAATATTGTTGCCACTTTGCACTGTTACTAACTCATTTGATTACCGAGCGAATGAAGACGACGATTGCGATCGTGAATACCACTATTATATATTATCAGACACATACATGATTATCTTTAATATCAATAGAATTTCTGTAAAACGTGGCTAATGCTTTTTTAAATAAATTTATATACAATTAAATACACAAAATTTTTAGAAAAACTCACAATAAAATTATAAATAATTAACATAGAAATCTTTATGTATAAAATTGAAAACAAATTAAATAAAATATAATATAACAATAACAACAAAAAATATTTATGTACAAGTATGAGATTCTAAATATAAGCACACACATACGAATAAAACATACATACAAATTGAATACTATATTATATATAAATATATATATATACATATATAAAGATGATCAATAAAATTAAAACAATTTATTAGTAATCAATAAATAGTATATGTTTTATTTAAATAAAGAAAGTAAAAGTTATATTAAATACAGATCTCTTCGCTTTTTCTATCGTATCTCAAGTTGGAAGTTTTATCATCATTACATGAGTTTACTACTCCAGATCTACTCAAACTGTAATAATGTATTAAACACATTTTGAATTTTTTACAGAAACTTAAAAATTGTTGTGGAAATGTAGATATTGACCAGACATACAAAGCAATAATCCGATCAATTCTTTATGCTTGGAACTATAAATCTTAGGTCAAAGTAAAATTGATATATGTACATATATAGTCAAACAGAAATTCAAGATAACGCTTATAGAAGCAGATTTATACTACGTTAAATTAAAACAAATACTAAAGTTCTGATTTTGTTAGATGATACGGGATTGGAGACCCAAACAAATCTTACAGAACCAGTTAGACTGATTTCGCTGAATTGATATAGTGAGAACTGATATAAAACTGACTCAGAAACAGTTGCGAAAAAACTTGAGAGATGAAGGAACAGTAAAAAAACAGTTGACAAAAATATCTAGAACCAGTTAGACAGATTTCGCTGGATTGATGTAGTGAGAACTGATATAGAACTGACTCAGAAACAATTGCGAAAAAACTTGAGATGAAGAAACAGTAAAAAAACAGTTGACAAAAATATCCTGTATATAATATGATGATTCCGTGTACAAGACAATTATAAGATTAATACTAAAGATGTGTTCTAGGAAAGGAGTAGGAAAACAGATACTTTAACTTAACACTAAAGAGATGGGAAAATGGGTATGATGACTGAGAAATGTTAATCATATCACCAATCAATCATTTTAAAATTAAATATTAATATATTAAAAATGTATTTTGTTTATTTTAACATACAATATTATAGGAAATTAAAGTGAATATTTAATTCATTCTCTTCAAGTGAGGTAAAGTTTAGAAGTTGGATTTTTCACAATTCTTTGTTAAAGATCCGATTAAATTTCCAAAGCGGCTCTGTTCTATAGTTTAAAACTCGGAATCATTATTTCTTTAATTAATCGGTTTATCTACCCTTAAAAAATGGTAATTAACGGTAGTATGTTGAGTTAAAAATCCAGTATTCCATCAAAATTCTGATATGCTTAGACTGAAAAACTTTTCCACATTTTTGTTTGTGACTCAAATGAGCTGTTTAGATAGATAGCCCTTTAATATTATATAAGGCTTTCTCCAACAGTTAATATGATACAATTTGACAAGTGAATAATCCGCTAAAAGATCCAAGTGCTATGAAGATAGCTAGAGCTACTTTGTCAAATGTTTCGTTATCATCGTATCTGAGTATAATAATATTACTTTATTCATTGTAGCCAATGAACACTATATATTAATTTATTTTATTATAGAATATTTATATAGAAAATTAAAAGCAATTTATATATTTATATTTAATTTTTATTAATATTTAGTTTAAAAATTTATATTACATAAATTATTGTTTCACATTAAATTAATTTGTCTACAATTATTTTTACATAATGTCACTATTTATGTTTTGAATTGTAAAAATTTTTTAATTAAATTATTAGGTATCAAAAGGGCGTTTTTATAAAAAAAATTTATAATAAATTTTATTTAAAATAAAATTGCTATATTTAAAATTTCATTTTCTAAAGCATAAAATAACGAAGCGTTAAAATAAATATAAACAAAATAAAAATGTTGTCTCTTAATACATTTCCAGCACCACAATTACACGTATGTTGCATATAAAAAATTGCCAATTTGTTTATAAAATTATTATTACCTAAATTAAAATATATCAACACAATATTTGCCTCACATGTTACATATTATTACAACTCAAACAGTAGTTAAAAATGATCACCAACTTAATTCATATAAGTTACAAAATTAAAATAATAAAGAAATTATAAGATTTAACAAATTAACTTATCGATTTGTGCGTTGGCACAAGCTTATGGAATACTACAGAATAAAGCTCAGTAAATAAAATTTCAACAGTTTAATATTGCTACTATAAACATAAATAATTATTTTATATTATTAAGTTTACTATAGCATAAAGAAAACTGACTATAAGAATATTTTTATGATCTTCGACGTCGAATTTCTTTGTCTAATATTAAACTTATTTTAAAAAATAAACAATTGCGCCAAATATGAGATGATATTTTACACTACAATACAACAATCTATGTCCATGTATAACACCCACGTACGCAATCCTGTTGCTTTAACTATAGGTTTAGTAGTTTTATGAACCAAATTGTTCCTTGGCTTGATCAATGGGACCGAATTCGTAGCTACCACGACCATCAAATTGTAAGTAATAATCATGATGTGTCCATAATGACTTGCGATGGGATACGGTAAATAGTGTAATGCCAGCATCACGGCAATAGCTATACATTTGACCTTCTACATCGACAGATACAGCGCTAGTGCACTCATCGAGTATAGCGAATTGTGGACTATGATAGAATAGGCGTGCCATAGCAATACGTTGCTTTTCACCACCTGATAATACATCAATCCAATCTTCGATAGCGTTTAGACCATTTTCACGCTGTTCCAAATATGTTAGCTGTACAACATCTAAATATTGCATTAAGTCCTCATCAGTTTTGCCATTGCGTACCATATCATCCCGTGTATGTGGGTAGATTATCTATAAAATAAATATTTAAATAAAATTTATGTTTTTTGAATTAATATTTCTTATTTGAGAAAATATTTACTTGATCACGCAATGTGCCCAATGTCATATAGGGTCTTTGAGGAATGTAGAAAAGCTTGCCACGTAGAGGTTTCGTCACTTTACCACCCCAAGTTGGCCACAGTTCACCAAGTATGCGGAATAAACTAGATTTACCACAGCCATTTGGACCACATACTAACACATTCATACCAGAACTATAAAAAAACAGGAAATTTTTATTATTATATGTAAAATAAATGATTAAGAAAATTATTTCAATGATACTGAAAATGTAGGCTTTGAACTTGACTATTTATAAAAGTAAGTAATCTTCAATATTCGCTATAATATTTTTTACTTCAGGTGTTTTTAAAGCTTACATGGACAAAAAAACATTTGGTTTAAAATATCGAATTTATAGGGAACAATAAAATTCGCTCAATTGATTGATTTTCTTTGTGTTAGTTAAGTTTATCAACTTATATTCAGTTGATAACTTATATTTTCTCTCCATCCTTACTACTATCTTTATGCCTATATTGTGTTATATCCCAATGGACATTAGTTGCTATTATCTAACATGGATAATAAGAGGTAAAACTCTCAATTGATGACTGGATACAGTCACGTGCTAAGCAGTCACTTGTCAAGAACAAACGTGTGTCACACTGCAGTTCCACTTCCCCTGACAAAACCCATCGGTTTACTTGCATGAACGTATATATCAACTCGAGCTATATTGCATTATTTTTCTGTCCTACTGAGTTTACAAGGTTTCTCTATATGGCTCTAGGATATGTCCATTCATTCTTATTCAGTCTTATCCAAAAGCAAACTCTTGATTTCTCTTATAAAAACCTACATACGTTGGCAATAAATCATCGATCAATATATACAATTTTTAAATTTATAATACGAACGATGAATAAAAAGTAGTTATGACACACGGTGTGCTCAAATATTTATAAAAATTTTATTTAAACTCTTTTTCTTCATTATAAAACCTTCTCTTTATAAAAATGGATAACTTCATCATTAATTTACTTAAATATTTCCTATTAAGAAATTTATGATGCTTACCGCACTTCGAAGGTTAACTCCTTTAGTAGTATATCACCGTTCGGAGTTACAAGTGGCACTTTCTCAAATTTAATAATATTATCAACAAACACCATTTCACCCTTGTTTGGACCGAAATCGCTTTCACCATTTATAACATTATTAACCATTGTACGTTCATATGTGCCTTTATTTAAATCATTGAGTACTTTTACGAGTTCAGTCATTCTAGCGGTGAAGCCTATATAAAGAAAATGCAATATTCATTAACACATCTTTATTAAAGATATAGGAAATCATTGACATACCAGCTAAACGAGACATTTCACGTCCAGCCAAGACTAAACGTCCAATAGCCTCAGCTAATTTGATTAACATTCTACCATAGGTATAATAGGCCTATAACATAAAATATTATGAAATATATATAATAGGTATGTTAAAACACAAGGAATTTACCTGTAAACGTTGACCACTCTTTTCACCAGATAAAAGAGGATGATTCTCGGTAAAGAAAGGAATTGAGACCGCATAAAAGCCAACAATTGAAGCGAAATCTATAAGTTTAAATTATATATTTAAGCTGAAATAGAATATTAATAATAGATTTTATAGTTTGACTTACATTTTCCTACGATATTATCAATAATACCCATGCTTACACGGAACTCTAGGAATTTTCTTAAATGTGAACGTAATTTTGAGAAACTAGCTAAAAGTGTTAGTTTCTCACGAACATTGCCTTGATAGAACGCCACTTCTTCAGAATTTGTAATGAGTCTGCTATTTACATAACGGAATTCGCCTTCCAATTTTTGTTCTTCAACAGTTAGGCGACCTGTTGGACGGCGTAAACGGGTCAGGAAAATGCCAGCAAAGAATAGGTACAGCATAAGCACAGAAGGTGTCTGAAAAGGTTATGGGTTATATTAGTAATAAAAAAATTTATTAGTTAATATCAATAATACCTTTCCGCCTAAATTCACTGTTAATCGGTAAACATAAATGAATATGTCCAAAACAGGTTTACTGATGTTCGAATATAAATCGGTAGCGCTTTCACAGAATTTATCAATATCTGTTGTGAGTAATTGATCGGCATTGGCTATTCTATTATCCAAATTGGACATCTTATAGTATGTATAGCCCCTATAAAATAGTTAAATATTAATATAAATGTCAGTACATATTAATAATTTTTATATTTATTAAACTTACCTGAGGTATTGATTGTACAGATGATGTGTCAAATTCGTTCTAAATCTTAATTTTAATTCACCTAAACTCCATTTTAGTATATTTGTTACAACTGAAATCTATAATTTAATAAAAAATTTATTTAATTTTTGAAATATTAATTAAAAATTCTAGAATTTTATATACCATTGGCAAGGCAGCAAGATATTTAAGTAGTGCAGATCTGAATTTTGTTTTGTTCATGTGTATAATTGTGCTTTCCACGACAGTGGCATTTTGAATCATCCATATGTCACTGACTGAACGTCCAATCAATGAGGCAGCAATTACGAGTAATAAACCACTTTCAACGCTCCAAATTCCGGGAATCAAAATTGCTGTAAGTAAAAAATTTTGTAAATAAGTGTTAATGTTTATTGAAGAAGCTGAAACTGAGTACAATATGATTCATTAGAACATGATGAGGAGTGATATGCTTTAATTGATGGAGTGAGAAAAAACTTAAGGACATTAAAAATAAATTACAACTTTTTAATTCAAAAAGTATGCGTAATATTGCTATATATTATTCATGTAATTGAGATAATTAAATGATAAAAATCATAACAATGTTATGCACTTAAGGATTGTGTGTTAAGGTGGGCGACATTACTAAAATTAGCTAATGGTAAGGACTTTCTGAAAATGACATATACAAATAAGAGTAATCACTAACCGCACGGGGCGGTACGCAGATCTTAGATCAATCATTGAATAATCATGAGGATTATGAGTAACACTCAAATTACTCAGTGAGATGGGTGGGACTCTGCAGAAGCCCCCCAGCCATCATAGAGTAAAAGTGTCCAGATGCACTAACTCGGAAAAGGTTCAACATAATAATAACACAAAAAATATTGTTACTATTAATCTTATTCTTATTTTCAATTTCAATCTTATTTAAACCATTTTCAATCTTATTGTCAGTATTTGTATAAACTTCGCTTAACTAAGATATTATTATTCAAAGATTTATAGCCTGGAGTAAACCAAAGATCTTATTTTTTTTTTATTTTTTATATCTCTTAATTCTAGCTTCTCTTCATTATATTTAATCATCATCCGTGACTATACAGTCCATTAGGTCCTAAGCCTGTTTCTTGGTCGCTCTCTTCTTCTGGTGCTTCCTACTTCGTTCTCATAAATCTTAAACGGTACTCTCATATCCGGCATTCTTATCACATATCCAACCTAATATGTTCAATATGTAATCATTATGCATATTTCATTATATTCTAAGTTATGCTGTAATGGCAGCCTATTGCTCATCAAAGCTTATTTGAGCACATATAATGGTAATATCTATAATAGAATATAAAGGATATTCTTTATTTAATTATATCCACTTCAAAAGTGGATCCATAGAGAGTTTTAAAAGGAGTGCAAAACAACTATACACAATTGCCATAATACAAAAAGAGCAGATAGCATAAATATACAAGTAGTATACATATCTACCAGCCATTCAGAGGATAAAAATGGTGGTTCAACCAAATGTGGCTTTCTACGTTTAGGAGTAGTTTATTCTAATGACTATCCCCTTTATTCCTTTAGGAATTTGTTTGTGAAGATAAGGAATGGATAAGAAGCAAGCGAGCACAATTTAATAGTGTCTAACTTATGTAAAGGACAAATACGAAAGGTTTAGGGGAAAAATTTAAAACTCGGTGGAATTATCTTATTTTGGAATAAGAAATTTAATTTCTTGTTGACATGATTTGCCAATGACTTCAATATTATTAAAAAAACCTCTATTTTAATTTAAAAAAAATTAACAAAAAGTAAAGAATAATTGATAATACAATTTAATACGATACGATTAAAAACAAATATAAAATAAATTCTGATGTAAAGATAATACAAATATGCAAATATATATGGAAGTAGATAATTAAACAATTTTAGTTATAAATACCAGAAAAAGGCGTGGATTGAAAGTACAAATTGTACACTCATGATTACTTATTATTATTATTCATAATTATTAGTAATTAATTTTCAAAAACATTAAAGTTATATTTTCCAATAAGTTGAAATTATACTGTATTGGATTAATTAAACTACAAACACGTTTCTAGAGGTTGCTTAGACTACTGTAATCATTTTTGCTAAATCATCCCTGAAAAAGGCATTGTAAATAATATTTCCGCTAAGTCAGACCCAGTCATCGGTGAAGGCGAGAGACCTATTAAATTATCTAAATTTAACGGGATGTATTTAGACTTTACTATTCTATACATAAAAGGGTTCTTGCGAAGACTATGGTAACAAAACGGCAAAAAATCGCTAATTGAGGTACATAGAAGTTATCTAATGGCCTGCCATTGAAACCAACCGACCAACCAGACCCAGTGAAACTATAAATGAGTTTCTTGATTCAACAACTCATTGTTCTTTAGACAAATTAATCATTCTTCCTTTAAAAAACAAAGTTTTTAATAAGGAAGGAAGTAAAGTTGTAGAAAGGTAAGGTAAGAAGCTAAATAATTTAAATTAGATTGAGACTCTGTAGAAGGTGGCAAGATTTATAGGCAATAATTATGCATTCCAGATCTAAGTTCTGAGTTTTCGAAGCATTAAGAAGAAACAGAGGATATTCAACTTGTAGAATGGAGATCAGAACGTTTTTTGTTAAGGCGTTTTTGCTATTAGATAAGGAGTGCAATTTACGCCATACTACTTTCCACAAGTATAGATCAAGGAAGATTATGTATTTAAGGTCTATTGTCTAAGCTTAACAAACGATTTAAGAGGTATAAAAGACATTCAACCTTTAGAATGAAAATCAAATAATTTTTTGTTAAGAAGTTTCTAAATTTAAAGAAAGAGAGTTATAATTTTCACGAGCATAGATCAAGGAAAGAAAAAAACACTAATAATAATAAATAGTTTGTATTTATATATATAATAGATATATATTATAGACAAAAAGATAATGCAACTATTTTAGTTTTGAATATAGCAAAGTAAACTTTGAGAAATTAAATTTTATATTTTACATTACTTGAAGTAAAATGTAAAATTTTCAAAAGTATGATATTTAAAAAATAAATTACAATAGAAATTCGAACAAAAATTCATAGGATAGAAATTCAAAATTACATCATTGCGTCATAGCAAAAATTCCTTAAGATGGCATGTCTTGCAGCAATTGCCTTCACTGCTGTGGTCCACTTAATTTTTCGTACATCATTCTTTTTCACTCAGAGTTTGGACAAATGCTCAAAATCACCAGGTATTTCCAGTTGGATTTTCGTCATTGCCTTGTTGGATATATTATCAGATATTAAATTATATCCGTATCGTTACGCGCATTTGGGAAAATGGATCCAAATCTCTGTTGAAATTGTTATGACAGTCTTGATCACGGAATTCATAACATTAGTTATGTGGTGTACTTTCGAGCGTATAATCGGACGACTTACAAAGGCTTTACTTTTGGTTGTGGGTTTGGATTTGAGTACCTATCTGAAATATGAGAAAGTTATTTTGGGTACGATAACTACTGCTTTCAGTCTCTCCATATTATGCTACGCTTTACAAGCTACCGATCATATATATTTTGTGCAACTAAAATGTAAGCGGTTTGCCAAGAAAGTTAAAGTGGATTGCCTACATTATTGGTACAACTTAACAGGTGGTCCCAAAATTTCTCGAAATAAGATGTACCAATATTATTTATGTGATTCCGATGACTAATGAACTGAAAAATTGGTCCTAATTTCGATGTGCATATGAACATATATATATAACTATACACGAATATATAAGAGTATATATTTAAGAATCCTCAATTTGCTGAATCGCAATAACAATAAAAACATAATTTAAATGAATTTTAAATTAATCTTTTTTTATATTTCGAACTTACGTAAAAGCTGTCTTAGTTGCTTGAAGAATACTGCATTGACCTGGGCTTTAGATTGCTTTTTCCCTTTCTTCTCCGTTATTGTGTACTGTATTTTGTCTTCATATCCCGGTTTTCTAAGAAGAGGAATAAACAAAATATATAAAGTATTATAGGTTTTCATAAATTTAAATTAAGTATTTATATCGCAGTGTTAGATCTCTAAATGTTTAGGAAATCCTCAAATATTTAATTTATATGAAAAACTTCAGATTTTAAGTATAAAATAAATGTTTATGGGAGCATTCATATGAAAAAGTTGGATATTAATAACATAATATAATTTATCTTTAATATATTTCACATAAAATTCACACGATTATATGTAAAAGATAGCCACTATATTCTATACAGAATAAAAATTCTTTGAAAAATAATAAGTTCTCACTAGTCAACAGAAGTTATGAAATTGTCGATAAGGCACATTAATCAATCAAAAATGTAATACATATATATTTATGTAGTTCGTCAATAAAGGTAGAACAAAAAGTCGAACATTAAGTGAATAAAAAATATCTATATCGGGCACAATGGTCAACTGTGCCTTTGTTTTAGCCTGTCATACACTCAGGAAGAATGGATAACGATAAATTCTCTTTCCCCTGTTATGACATGTAAAGTAATACGAAAGTCAAATTTATTCAGTTTGTTTAATTTTTTCTGAATGCAAACACTAAAGTAAATAAAAGGAATCTTAAAATTTATATACAAAATAAATAAGTTGATCTATAGCCAGATAATCAGACCGGCATTTGTCAACTCTACTATCCAGAAGCTACAAGTTGCTTAAAGTCAGGTTCTCCGAAGACTCTTTAAAGTACCATGGTGCATTCGCACGAATGACATGCTGAGAGACCTCAGAAAAGATCAAGTCAAAAAATACATAAGGGACAGAGCCCTGAAGCTGCCCTACATAGCACTATCTAATCTCAGAGCAGTCACTAGCCCTACGGAGCGGTATGCAGATCTTAGTTCAATAATCGAATAATTAGCAAAGCTTATAAGGAATACATAAATTAGTCAAACAGAAGAGGAGACTTTGTAGAAACCCGGCTAAGAAAAAGTGAAAGTGCCCAGTTGCACCAATTCGGAAAAACCTGAACATAAGACATTTTTTCAATGAGTAAGATATAGTATATACTTCATATCTGCTATTGCTCTGTCAGGGACCCCTGCGCAAGGTAATTTAAATACCCTAATGATATTTCTTAGAGGATTATAGTTCATTGCAAGCGAACTAAATCACTTAAAAGACCATTTGAGTGTCATTAAATGTTCATGTTATATGTTTGAAACTCTTTCAATTCAATACGCTAACGCTATAGGTCATAGGTCTAAGTGACTTCCTAAATTTGATTCTATTTAAATATCAAAGACTACTCTAACGATTACTAAAGCCTGTATTATTTCATATAGGTAGTATTATAGGAGTGCTAATCAATCTAACATGGTTCTATATTCAGTTCACACTGTATTAAAAATGGATCAAACTATAAGATATAGTTTAATCTAAACTAATGGTTTTCAGCATTTTATGTTTAACTAATACATAGATCTTTTCAAAAAGAATAACCGGAAATAAGTACTAGACTAAACCATGTATTACGTGCTTGCATAGCGCAAAATTTCGCACATATATTTAATTAAAATTTTATTTAAAATTCGAGAAACTGAACATTCAAATAATTGTAATCATTTCCGCCACTAACAACAAATGATTTAATATATACCATACATACTATAAATTAGAAGTGTTTATTTAATCATACAACACGCAATCTTAATTACCCTGTGTAATGTAAAAATGGAACAAATCAAATTGAACTAATCTAAACAGATGAATAAAATTAAAAAATAAAATTAAAAAAAATTGCGAATAACTAAGTAAAATTTTATACATATTTATTTTTAGATTTGTATCGAAAGGTATTATTAATTCCAAGTTATGCCATTACAACACTTGAGAGAAATAATAAAACTGATTAATGTGTGTCATGATAACAAAGTATGGATAGGTCAGTATAAATATTAAAGTTCCTTCAATATATTTCAATTTTGTTTTTTTTATTAACGACTCAACTGAGTCTTTAGTAGAAAGACTTTCTAACACTCAATTTTTTTGTTTACATTTAGAATCCAGAGATAGACGTATATAATACATAAATAAGGGTATTTTTATATTTTCTTCCAATTTTATTTTAAAGTTACTTTTTCTTTTTTCTAACCATATTTCAAGACGCTTGAAACACAACATGTACGCGATTTACCTCGCCAGACTTAGACTTCGGTAATTATTAACTGCCTATCCCATTATAATGAAATTAAGCAACATCTCTCTAAAGAACATAATGGCGTTTTGAACAGCTACTGGTCTATAAAACTAAGGTAATTTTTCACAATAATCCTCAAAGGATGCAGTGACGTGGTGATAAGTTCCCAACCCGTTTAAAATTTTATCTAATCTAAGCTGCAGTTTTATGGCAGTCAAAAGGTGCCCAATCGGATGATATCAGCTTCCAATCGGGATCGCTAAAAACACTTTATAAATAAGGCCACGACCGGATACCGGTTATAGTCTGGCCGGGTCTGCATTCCGGAGCCATTCCTCAATCTCGACGAATCCCCAAAGGGATTTTACAAGCGGATCCGCACTGGCAACAACAACAACATAGACTGTTGATAGGCTATCATACAAAACACATATTTAACTAAATGATTATTAGTATATATAATGCGTCTTTCAACTCTGAAAGCCTCTAATTAATAATTGAATAATAATTAAAAGATGCTATTACTAGAGCAACACTACAGATAACTACCATGCTAAAGAACTGATTTATTTTTTCGACATCTAGATGTCCTTATTCAGCAAGAAAGAACTTAAGTATTAAATTATGACGATGAAAATGCGGAAAAAAATTAAGCGGCATTAAACTCATAAGTAATAAGAGGGAAGATATTCTCAAGACGAGCTTCCATAAAACACCGTTATTGTTAATGGTAAACTATAAGTCTAGTCAGAAGAATGTATATTTATATATTTAACTATTTAGTAGATGTCGAATTGAATTTATTACTTTAATGAGAGCTGTAAGAAGTGTTTGTCTGTTGCACAGTTTAAAGTTTTTCTTAACAGGTAAATTAATTTTTACTATTTTAAAAGTCAAATAGTTTGTAGCTACATTAGTAGGTACAAAAAATATGAAGTATACGAGTATTAACATACTACACATGTTCCAAGAAGCAAAAGTTTATAATGAAACATTTCCCTTTCAGAACGTTTTAATCAGTCAACCAACGCAAGCCTAACTAGATAACAATAACCTTATCAAGAATGAAATTTTATGTTCTCCCATACATATGCGGAATAAAATGACAATGACAATATATGAATCAGTGATTTGTAAACATTTGTAGGTACAAATACATTAAACCTATTTCATACGTTATTTGGACTTCAAATTTGCGAAAATGGTATATATGGTATGTAAAGATATTAAAGCATACATATTTACGAATGGTTAAAACAACAACTGAGTACATTTTTAAATTAACATAAATAAAGTTCACTTATTTGACAATATTGTGCGATATATAATAGGTGTCTTTATATTAATATTCATTCTTTGGCGGGACGTATGAGCAATAAATTTAGAAGGTTAGATACTGAATGACGAGTTGCAAAGTGTACTGAAATATTTAATTAAATAAAATTAGTGAAGACATAAGTTAAAAAGAATACAAAAATTTTAATATGTTAAATTGGAAGCATTTAAATTAATGACAGTCTTTGAATATAAAAAATATAAATACATACATATATATGATACAAATTGGTTTTGATTCTATCAAGGAATCCATTGGCATATATAAAATAAAATACAATAATGAGTTAAATAATCTAATGAGTGACGGTATAGTAGATAGATACTTGAAAATACAAAGGTTTAAATTAGCTAGTCATGTCTACATTATACCAGAAGATAATCAACTGAGTCAAATTTACTTAAGAAGTTCACTGGAAGCAGGGAAAAACCACAAGCTTGCAAATATATATCAATAAAATATTAAAAAATTATTTTATTAAATAAAAAAATAATTATTATATAATAATTATATAATAATATTTATTAAGAACTAAAGTTACAAGTTTTCTGGAGTACACAACATACCCGGGGATGTACATATATTATATGTATATAGGTTTTTTTTATTGTTGTCATATTGTTAAGAATTATTTATATATATGTATGTAACATTTGTAACATATATAGATGTATATAGACATATAGAATATATGTATGTTATGTATAATATATATAAGCATAAACATTTGAGTGTTTATCAAAAAATTCTATTGATGATTATTATTTTTAAAATGTTAAAAATTATTAGAAAGCAAAGATGTTTGTAGGGAAGATACTCTGTCATAATTAATTACTATAAAATGATTAGTACCCTTTCAATCTGAAAAATTCCCTATGGAAGATGCTTTTCAGTCTGGTCAACCTAGACCAGATTATTGTTATTATTGGTGGTATTATTTCAATCTGAAAAACTTGATGTGAAAGTTGCTCTTCAGTCTGGTCAGCTTATTACCGAATAATGTAGAAAATTATGGATATAAGCTTCAGAAAGACCAATATGCAAACAGTAGATATAAAAAAATGAACAACTATCGTTAAGGGACTAAAGAACTAAAAATTAATACAAATTTGTATTCAAAAAGAAGTATGTTCGGAAACACATTGGTATGCAAAGTTAAAAAAATTTAAAGACTCAAGTTTTTATCTACAAACTATTATTGGACCGGAACAAGTTTGACATATATTTAAATCATATGATAACATAGCTGATCAGAAGTGAATAATATACTATATTGTGGCACGAAATTTAAGATGAAAAAGAGATAAAACTCCATGAAGCAGTAACAAAGCTGGCAGAAATAACAAGCAAGGTATTGGTATATGTTTGACAGAACTGCAATGGTCTCTCCGTAATGAGCTACGACCATTTGACTAAAGGATTCATCTCATATTCTGCACTGACAGAATTTTACACAATTAAAACAAAAACT